CCCTAAACCCTGAACCCTAAACCCTAAGCCCTAAACCCTATACCTAAACCCTAAACCCTAAACCCTAAACCCTAAACCCTAAACCCTAATCCCTAAACCCTAAACCCTAAACCCTAAACCCTAAACCCTAGGTCTTCTGTGGCCGCCCCGTTGGCCCTGAACTTTCTTCAGCCGGAGCAGCGCAATCTTGCAAGGCGAGACTCCCAGGCCAGCCTGGGAAGCGAACAAGACGACAACGTTAACAACAAAAAGAAGAAGACGCTGAGAGAGCCCAAGGACGTGAACTGGGTCACAAAGGGAAAGGCCAAAGTCAATTGCGCCAAGGCCGTCGTTACGGAATCTCGTTGCTTGCGACGTACTATCGACAAGGCTCAGACAAACGACGCCACCGCGAAGCATCTTGACTATAGTTTATGTATCAATCGCTTCAAGCCTGATCAATGCTAGGCTCTCGGGTCAGGCTTCAGTTGGCGGGTTGGGGTACCCCTAGACCTATAACCAGGTCCTAAAAAAGTATGGTTTAATAGATTTAATATAGATCATAATGCCTGTGAGGTCTGAAGACATGGTGAAGGGCTACAAGAGCGAGCTCGACATGTACACCAAGCAGCTTGAAGATGCCATTGAGCCCTTGGAGTCCAAGATTGCCGATGGCGAAAAGTCTGAAAAGAGCCTGAAGCCCCTTATGGATGAGCTCGCGAAGAGCGTGGAAAATTTCCACAAAAAAGTGAAGACGATCAAGACGGCCTATGAATCTCGGACCTAATAAGCCAATAACCGGTACCTATAGGCCTAAACCCTAATAAAGCACTCAAGCCAAACCCCAGACCCTAACCTACGATTAGACGACGACTAGATGACCACCCTAAACCTGAAGCCACTACCTGTAACCTTAAACCCTCTTAGCCACCCAACCCCAAGCCCCAAACCCAAAGAGCTCGACCACTTTATCAGCCCATAATAAACCACTCAACCCAAACCAACGGTACCCGAACATACGGCTAGGCTAGAAAGACCCCCAAACTATAGGCAGAGCCCGTCGCGAAGCCGAAGAAGAAGGCGGCCGCCAAGAAGCCGGATGCATAGACGCCCGTCTCCGAACCTGAGCCGTCGGCTTGTGAGTGTCTTGGGGACACTCGGTGCCGTGAGTTTGGGCTTTTGGCGCCTAGCCCTCGCATCGATACCGTGTTTAGGCTTGGCTTGCTGTCTCGGGTGATCACCCTATTCTTCGTCCTAGGCCCCAAACCCTTAAAGCCTAAGGGTCGAGACATTAATAGCAGCAGAGCCAGCTGTCCAGCCATAGCAACACGGTCTAGCCGTTGCGAGCTTTGCAATTGGTTGCAATCGAATCAAATTTACAGATCGCTACATACATGCACAACTAGATGTAGCTTCGATGCTACAGCTGCTACTGACGCGGCGCTTGTGTCTGCCAAAACAGATGAGCGAGTATCGCGATCGATCCAATTAACTATGCGGCTACAAACAAAGCGTAGATATACATTAATATTTATCCCTCGCAGGTGACCAATCGAAGCCCGGAGCCGCCACGTTGCACAAGCGACTGACCACTATGATTTCTGCCGGGGACAAGGGTTGGGTTGAAAATGACTAGGATGAGGCTAGGGTTACATCCAAATAATATTTCTTAAACCCCATTACAGGCTAGGCCTACCTATATAAACGGTTAATTATATAATTCACCCTGCAGGAGCTCAGCTACGCATCGGCGCAGAAGGTCGCATATGCTGCTATTCAGGTGGGACCTACTTTAAAGATTTGGGGTTTATTGCATTGTTAACTTTATCATATGATCATCGTGTTAAGTCCAAGCTGCGAGGACTTCGCAGCCATGGGAGCGGAGCCTGGCCGAATGCTTGCAGGGCTTGCAAGTGCAGGCGCCAACGGCGACCATGTTAGCAATATCGAGCGGGACGTGTTACGACGGTCTACACCCAGCCAGGCCTATCGATCCGAGCGAGAATTGCTTATATCTATCCGTCCCAACTCACCGTACCCTAAACCCCAGACCCCGCCTACCTAAACCCAAAGCCTGTACACCTGAACTGCGAATCAACTCTAAAAGCTAAACTAGTAAACCCCGGCCCTAAGCCTAAACACCAAGCCCGGTTAAACCCTGTACCCCTAAAGGCCAAAACTCAATCTCACCCAACACCAAAACCCAAACACACCCAAAGCCCGAGTCCGATCAACCATACGGCCCAGGTTCCCATCCGATTCGTGCCTGCGCCGGTTCGCCGAAAGCGACAAGGAGCCTGGGTGGTGGAGGACCAGTTGCCGGGCTACAGTTGATCAGGGTTGAATGCACTAGGACCTTTATAATATTGTTTTCTGATCAATGATGAGGCTGCTGCCCATTGTCCTACCCCATGAGCTGGTGGCCGCACTGCACAAATCCGGACAATTGGACAACATGTACAACATGCAGGAACTCAGGGAGTTTTGGAATCATATGATTGGCCATGCATGCAGTCAAGTGCCTTGGCCGTGCAATGTTCCCGAAATGACCCTGCCGGGCGGGTTGCATGGAGATGATTGCCGGTTTACGGAAACAGGGCAGAAGATCATCGTGCTGAGCTGGAACCTCTTGATGGACTCTACCCAAACACGTTATCCGCTGGCCGTTGTACGGCTTGTAGCCTGGCTTCAAGCTACGTACCAGCCCACCCTGCCTAGCTCTAGCTAGCATGCAGTTTTAGATTCTGAAGCTGTGCCAAGCCACGCAAATCATCGCAGCATGTATGCCGAAGCGAGGCATTGAGCACAGGATTTGAAACGCTGCAAGCGCTTATGAGACCGGTGCCAGATCAGCATTGATTATACTTTTGAAATAGGGTTTAGGGCCTTTGGATTTCAGGGTGTTTGGGCTTAGGGTTTTAGGACTTAAGGGATTTTGTGCTTCGGGGTTTAGGGAGATCCGGAGTTTAGGGGGATCCTTCTTATTGTCATCGAATGATAGCATAGCCAAGATCGCAGCATCGTTCAATTACTGCCTGCTGGGAGCTGCTCCGACATATCTTGATGCTGCAGAGCTGCGACCGGAGAACGTGGAAGCCCACGAGTCTATGATCCCCGAGCCCAAGACCACCTTCCCTAGATCATTCCTCTCGGAGGTACGTGCCGACTGGAAGTTCATGAAAGCAAGCTGGCACTGAAACGATATAAATTTAGCCTTGCAAGCCCCTAAACCCTAAGCCCTAAACCGTTATAATAGTCCGGAATGAATATATAGCTAGTTCAGGAAATCCAGGGTCGGACTTGTTTTTGGGGAGGACGAATGCCTTCGGCTTGGGATCTTTATACACTATACTACATATTGCAATCAAACCGGTACCACTACCACCACCAATATTGCTACTACTAGTACTAGCTAGTACTAGCTGCTGCTACTTATAATGCTATACTATTCAAGTTAAATTCACAATGCGGATCAGGAAATTCTGAACTTGGGCGTGGGCTGGAATTCCACTTACATATGCCATCATTGTTGGTGTAAAGAGAACGACTTTGTAAAGTTTCCGGCGCAACTATGGAGCCGGCCGCGACGGTCTATGGAAGAGTTCCAGGCCGTTTGCAGGCCACACCGAGGCGAGCGAAGCCACTAGCTATGCAAATAAGGTGCTCGATTAAACTAGCGGTATTCTTCGAACATATTATATTTCAATTATTTAACCGCTATCGTTATTCTGACCCGAGGCTTCTTACTGAAGGTGAACCACTTTCACCACAGCATGCTTCGCTGGTGCACACTGCATTCCATCAATTTGGGAGTGGTGCAGTGGACAGCTGGATCCCTCATCATGGAACTGTTGAAATTCACAGAGTCTCGACTGAATTTTGCATCAAGAGCATTATTAAAAAAAACTAGCGATCATCATGGCAACATAATTCGCTTTGTATCAGGAGCTATGGGTCGCTCCGCCGGGCACGCTCGCGAAGGACCGGATGAACGTGCGATTGGCGATGGCATATGCGGACTTCACCTCGTGGGCATCGACACACCGCATCGAGCATCTTATATTGCATATATATAGCGCGATCGAGCTCATGATGATGTGATCCGTATTATAAGGCACTCGCAGCCCGAGTTTGCTGCGAAGATGCTGAAAGATGTCGCGTCCGGCTACGCAGAACTTTCAATGAAAGGGCACAATGCAGCTTGTCATCAATGTATCAACTGTGGTGTTTATATATATATATACATGTATACATGATCTGCTCTGTACGTAAATGAGATCGCAGGGAAGAGTGGTCATGGCTTGGCTTTCGGACTTCGTCCTGGGCTTCAGGGCGACCTTACCGCCGGATGCCCGCTCGGAGCGTCTGGATGAGATGGCAAAGGTGGCGTTTCTTTGATCGCAAATAAATATGATGAAAACGTCGATGTGTGGTTTTCGGGTGTCAGTGTCTCATGATGAAGCTGGTCTTGGCAGGTTCTGGCTGGGTGAGTTCTTCAATCGTATGGAACGCTATGGAAGATATTTGACTGATGCACAAAAGTGCGGGCTTGAGGAAGCCTGTGACACTTGGTCTTTCATCCGGATCCTGCAATTTCGAATCATCGGCTTGTTTATGCAAAGTTTAAACTAAGGACAAAATGGGCATGGCTTATGTGAAGTTGGCAGGGATGTCTGCTGCCGACGGCGAGCGCCTGTGGATTTTGCGTCCCAAGCTACACGCTCCTCATTCAAATAGGGCCCGATCTCGAAGAAATACACCCCGGTATTAATATATTGAATCTGACGAACTTGATGAGGCCATGCAAGAGCTCAGTCACTTTGCAAGGATGGACGGCGGCCCATCTAAATCAAGAATGCATACATGTTCGCAGTTGTTGAGCTGGGTTGGTTTGTGGAATCCGGCATGTGCAGCTGAGGTGTGAACCCCAAGTACTATCACACGTTTCGTGACGAAAGCTATATGGGGACATGCAAAGGCCTGGCGAGCAAATATTGCATGGTACTGCATAGCCTGCAGCATGTATTTGTCACGCTTCCCTGCTAGTCCTGGCCAAACAATGCCATCGCCGAACACTCGAGAGCAGTTTCATGCGACGGGTGTATTCGAAGACCCTCGGCAGTTGAAGTCAGAGCTCATGTTTGTATTGCCAGTTGCGATGCAAATGAGGTTTCCCTCGATGCCCTGAGCGATCCATGGATGTGCGGAGCAACAGTTCGAGGTAGTGCACAATTCGAATTATAGTATGTACATGTCGTACAATACGGCTGTATCTCCGGAGCTAGAGCACGGTACTGCGTATACACATGGGCGCATATGGCGCTAGATTCGGCTCGTACGTACTGTAATCATATTAATTTGCAGGGCGTTGCTGCATAGTGCCGCAACTTTTCTCTGCGTGTTGCTGCATAATTGATAATTTGCCGGACATCGAAGCTGACAGGAGAAACAACAGGCCGCGAGCGATTCATTTCGGAGGCAATTCAATAAGGCAAATTCATCATACATCGTATAGAAATCTGATGCTTCACTGTAGATAGTACTATCTTCAAACTTTACAAGAAGATGGTTTTACGCTGTGAGTCTTCAACGGTTGATACCTTTGGACGCTCTGGGATATATATATATATAGTTATATTGTTTATTTATTATACATATA